CTAGACTTAAAAGCAGCATCCCAAGAATAGATCTCTTGGAACAGCTATTTGCACAAATAAAAGCACCACCAAGTACCCTCATACCAGGGCATCAGAATCTTTAGAAGTCCTAGTTTGACATGGTTTCATGTAACTGTAATTCATTAAAATGCCTTGAAGGAGAGGCACCACCAAATAAAAAGCTTTACTGCAGCAGTGTGACTAATTTTCCCTTCAAATAAAAGACACAACACTTCTGTTGTCTTTCTTTCTTCAGCAAAACTTGTGTTTCACATTAAGGTGGCCTTAATCTTTCACTGAGCAGGAGGGAAATGGCTGCTGGCAATGAACCACATTAATTAAGTGATGTAATTCTATGTATACTTCAAGTTACTCCCAACACATGGCCGTGCTGGCTTGTATGCTCCTTATATATCCTAAAAGGGCCACATCAGACTTGTAGAAGGAACCAGAAAAACGTCCCCGAATGTGTTTCAGTAATATTCCCAAAGGTGTTCAGACTCCAGCAGAATTGTTTTACTAATGACACCTTTCTGTGCAACATCGAAATAGGGAGGCCTGCTTTAAAAAATGACACCACAGTTCAGGCGGTAACAAGGAGAACTATTTTGAAAAGAAAAAAGATAAAAGCAAATTCAAATAGGGGGAAAAAAAGCCAGGTCTCATGTCCAAATATTATGGTCAACCTTTTCTTTATGTGCACTCCTGAAGAGAATAATTTTCAATGTATTGACATTCCATTAATTTCAACCAAAGCAAAGGAATGAAAGACAACCTTTCACAGACTTAGCTATAATGTGAAACAACAGATGACTGTGTTTTAACATTCTTGCTTTAAAAATACGAAGGTAAGTGGATACTTTATCTTTCTTTAAATATATCAGTGTTATACAAAATCACACATCTGGAAATTGTCATAAAACCTTAAAATACAACACAAAGCAACATATTGGCAGGCCTAAAAAAAGCAGTAAAGTAACAAAAAACAAACTAAGAAGTTGCAGCGCTCAAGGAAACAACATATGTTGAAAAGATATACATTTGATACCAACTATAGGCTCTTCCCCTGAAGATAGAAAGTGGGCCCTTAAACATCACAAAAAAGAGAAACAAATGAGCAAAAAATAAAACAATAAAAAGAGATAATATTTGCATATGCTACTTTATAGATGCAAATGTGAAAATAATAAGTATAATGTAAATAAAAACACAACAACAGAAAGCCTGTGACCAAATTCTTGTCAGGAAAAAGTGTTTATCTTTCCCTGCTGTGCAAGAGACATTTTTTTAAAAAGTTTAGAGCTGAGCATTTCTTTAGACTGTGAAACACATCTAAAAATATAAGGTCTAACAGAATAACATTAAATGAAATTTCTGTATGTACATATATTCCAGCTATCTGCTATAGTGTTCCCTTATGAAAACAACTGAACAATTATCTTCTTATAGTTTTTAATAATGTGCTTTTAAACATGGGCTATTAAATGCCAATATGTTTAACCAATTATTACAAGCAACCTACTACTTTCAAATAATTTTGTAAATACTGCATATATTATATAGCCAAAGGTTTAAAATGCAGTTCTTTTTCTTGGTCCCAAGTTAATATGGCATTTGAGTACATCAACTTTCCCAAATTGGAGGCCCTACAGATGTTTGCAGCTAAATTTCCAACTGCTGTATCCCCAATATATCTGCAAGGTATCAATTTAGTGCTTTGTAGTTACAGCATATCCTTCAATGCCCTCCGAATTTATTTTAGAAACTCATTAGCATCATAGCTGATCTTATCATGAAGCAAAGAGCAACATAAACATATTAAGAAGTCTTTTGTGTTCTTAACAGCTTTGTTGTTGTATTCCTTTAAAGGTTGTTAAGCTCATAATACAACTCTTAACCTTGCCTAACTTCTTTTTTCATTTCATTACAATATTATTGAAGATATAACACTTAAACATAATTCATTTTATCAAAAAAAGTATAGTTTTAAATTAGATTTACCATCTCTTTCTTCAAAGATTTCAGTTTCAAAACTCAGTCTGACTTTTTACTGTAACAATTTTGCTAACTCATTTATTATATAATGTGTCTCCTTGTAATAGAAAAGTAAAGGCCCAAGCCAATCAAAAGGGCCAAATGTTAGGCTGTGCACTCAACCAATCTGTACAAAGAGGAATCAATAGGCGTAAACAAAGAAGAAAATTATGGAAGTCAAATAGCTCAAGAAAGGCAAAAAAGAAAAAAAATGTAAGTATTATGAGCTGGAAAATAATTGGAAAAGAAAAATCAAATCAAGTGGGAAAAAAGAGTGAAAAAAATTAAGACTGTCATATATGTGACAACAGGAAGCTGGGTCCTGAACTAGATGCTTGAGTAGAGCAAGCAGTATATGACAACAAACTGAGAAGATAAAGGAGTAAAATGAAAAATAACAAACAGGCAAGTTAAGGTGGAAATGAACATTTAAATACATATATATACAAGCAAGGCCCCTTATATACAGCAAGCTAGAACTGCACTCCCTGATATTCACAGAAGATAACTCATAATTTACAGGCCTTATCCTAATTATTTATCTTCAAGGCTTCTGTCCTACAACTTCTAATATGGGTTATCTATAAAATTATCATCTACTGAAGCACACCTTCATTCTTTCCAGTTCTTGGGAAAACTTTTTCTAGGCTTGAATTCCTTTGGCTCCATGGAAATAATTTTTCAAAACATAGGTAACATTTCATGTTTAGGATGCATGATTTAACAGACTCCTCCTCTTAAAAGACAAGACAGTACTAAAGCCATAAAGCGTAAAATAGAAACAGAGATGAAATACGTTCAGTAATTTTAATGGTATTGTGATGGGCATAACTTTTTCATGTCCTCATTGTATTTTTTTTTTATCTTCTTTATCAGCCTTCCCACTAAATACAAATGTTTCTGTTTTTTTATAATAATTGTTTTAGAATAATTTTCTGAAATATTTATGAAGTAACACCTGTCAATCAAAACAGGGCCTTCTCTGGGAATTCCTGTCCCAGGATATTAAGTCTCCTATTTACCAATATTTCATTATTATCAATGTTTTGTTTTGATTTGATTTAATCCAAGCTTTTAAAAATTCTTCATGTTAATGTTCCATTATAATAATATTCTGGTATTGTTTAATATTTTTTATTATTATTATTATTATTATTATTATTATTATTATTATTATTCCTTAAAAAAAAGCTATTATGGTCATCCCATTTTCAGATGGTAATGTAAATAAATAAAATTCACACTGCCTGGCCATCAATACTGGAAATGTTTGACAGACCATCTTACTATGCATCATTGCACAAAGCAGAGTATTCCAGATTTTTAAATCTTACCAATTTAAAACAAATTATAATTGCCTTCTGGCCAATAATCACCTGAGATACTATTCTGATAGCCTTCTTTTTTCAGGCTTCAGCAATGAGAGATCCATAACTCTTACAAACATATTAGCATTAAAAAAAAACCTAGTTCTAAACTCTACTTGGTTTATTTCTATATAAGAACAAGCAACTACATTTGTAAATCCGGTACTTGATGAAACCACTGGTCACTTCCCATTTGATTGTGTTGAAACAATAATAAGTTTTGATCAAGACTTTTAAGTTAATCTGAATAAAAAGTAAAGTAGCTTCCTAAATACAAAATGATTGACTATGTGCGTCAACTAAAAATTTCAGCTGAATAGATACTATGTCACCCTGTGTTATAAAATGCTAATCAACTGATGGAGAGTCAGAATATTGTGACTTCATGAGTTTATTCTTCAATTGTCCACCTCTCTCAATGCCACATTCAGCTGTGCTATCCACAGATATCTGTCAAACAGAGCAATGTCCATACTAAGGCAACATAACCCTGGAGTTGGTGCTCATATTAACAGCAAGAACTTGGCTACAGAAACAGTGATGATTCATCAGACTTTCTAGCTGCACTGCCAAACTACAAAATAACAGACTGCCTTTTTAATCTTTCCAAAGAAAAAAGGGAGTATAACAGAAATCCCTGAAGTTTTTCTCCAGAAAGAAATATAGATTTTCAGTAATTCTAAGATTATTTATTAACAGTTAATAAAGAAGCCGTTCTGGTTTTAGCAATTCTGCAGACAACTCAACATAGTTACTTACCCATCAGCTTTGAACAACAGCACAATTCACAACACAAGGCAGAGATTTGAGATTACTTGGAAGGAAGTTTCATTGAAATCACTAAAACTTACTTTGGTGAAAAGAGGTCAAGGATAGAACTTTATTTAAATGGATCTAATCCTCAGCATCAATACCAAGGAGTATAAGCCACATTTGCTGAGTAGGAGGACTGAGTAAACACGCAGAAAATCGCCTGTAAACCACCTTGTTTAAATCTTTCCGTTTACTTAGCTGTGGATTAGGCCTCCTATGCTTCATAGCAAGACAGGCATAAAATACAACTCTACGTATGTACAGCAATAGTATTCCTGACAACAGGAAATGGCATTTAAGCATTATTTAAACCTAACATCCATTTTTAAATTTTTAATAATGAAATCTTAGGAGCCTTGCACATAAGTAATAATGATTATATTCTATCTGGGAAATTCTTTTAAGGTTCAATCTGAAGTCATACATCAATTATTTCTGACCATCTTGCAACCTGAAATTCGCTACACTCTTTATTTCTAAGATACTAAACAGGTTTGTTATCTGAATCAGAGGCTTTTAAAGTTATTGCATAAAGAAGCAATAATAAATGCATTTTATTTTCCATAAAATCCTTTCTAAACTCTCCTTCACTGTAAATAGACCTAAACTATATTTTGCAGCTTTGTTCACAAATGATCCTTCACACAATAATGCTTCCAGAAACAGTACATGAGTTACTTGACGGCATATAATCAATAAACTGCCATATCATTTAAAAACATTTAAAAAAAACATAATACACAATAAATAAATGACATAATATAGTTGCCCATTATGAGCCCATACCTTTCGGAAAGTGACTTCTCCTTGTCGCCGCCTTTTCCTTTGAGTGCCTTGTCTGAACCTCTGATTTACTTGAATCCATTTTACGACCTATATGTCAAAACCATACAGCTTTTTTAAGAAGACGCAACCTGAGCGCAACTATTCAGCATGAGTAAGAAACTATAAACAGACTCAAGATACAATTTTCCATTGCTTCACTGGAAGAAAAAAAAAAACAGGAAGAAAAAAAAACAGGATAGAGAGATGGGGAAGAGAAATACTGTTCCAGTTCTCAGTATCAGGTTCTTGCTTAATCCATTTAGCTATTTCTTCCTGGTCAAAAAAGCTTTTCTCTATCCCTTCCACCCCCAGTGAATGCAGTAAATTATAGTCTGCAGCTATAATCTAGGCTGCCCCAGCAGAACATTTTTTTGAAATATAAAGAAACCGCAGATATATCAAAGCATTTGGTGAAATTGTTACACAGCTGCGCCAAGGCGAAAAGCGGTGCTGGTGCTGGGGAGAACGTGCGACTGACTTCGGATAGGACTTTCTCCAAGCAAACATCTTCAGGGAGAGGCGCATCTTAAAAAGAACAAGGTTTAATCTTGGCAGCCCCTTCCTCGCGCCTTCAGCCTCTAAACAGGGTGGTATTAAGGGATCGTGGTAAAGGTAATACGAAGGGGCAGTTGAGAAACGTCACTCCTTCCTGCGAGTATCGTGATCTCTCATGATGGGGGGGCGGGGGGCGGACAGAGTCGCAAGCCCGGTCTTGAAAATCCACGATCTAAAACTATAAGCTCCCAAAGGAAACCGCATTTACCTCTTCCTTCACTTGCTGGGCTAGTCGACCCTCCTGCCAAACTCGACTCGCTTCCAGCAAAGGCTAGATGGGGAAGACAAATAAAGCGCAAGTTTATTTGAGGCGTTCTGTACTGCAGCTCCAGAGCAAAGACAGTCCGCTCTTTCCGTGCCCCCGGCCTCCAAAATCCCCGAGACCGAGCGCCTCCGAAAGCTTCAC